CATAATTGCATAATCAGTCTTGATGCAGAGCATTACAATAATCATATTAAGGCAAGTAATCAGCATCTTCTTATGGTTTGATTGTTGCAGTTTTAGGTGCAACATATATTATTCCTACCATGATATGGGTTTTGACTTGTAGGACCACCGTGAAGATGCCAACTACTTGAACATTCCGATTGAGCACTATCATGAGATGGCCACTATATGTGGCAAAAATTTGGCAGCTGCATATGCTAAAGGATCAAATGAGCCACTTGGTGTTGAAGTGACTGAAACATATAATGCACCAACTGTGGCTGAAACCAGTGCATATGCTAACGGATCAAATGAGCCACTTGGTGTTGAAGTGATTGAAACGGATAGTGAACCAATTATGACTGAAACAGATAATGCACCAATTGTGACTGAAACAGATTATGCACCAATTGTGACTGAAACAGATAATGCACCAACTGTGACTGGAACAGATAATGCACCAAAACCCACATCTAGTGAGCCAAGTGAACAAATTGTTGCTGATGACGGAACACACTCAGGCAACAATGGTGCAGAGTCCTCAGGTACTAAACAGCCACCATCAAAGAAGCAGAGGATATATACTGATGATGACTTGGTTGTGTTAATGAGTCGGACCCTTGGCGAACTTGCTTCGTCTATAAAAAAGCTTTCTGAACAACCTGACCTTCCTGTTCCAAAGGGGTTGTATGAAGAGCTAAAGAGCATCCCAGGGTTTGATGAGGCACATCTTGAGCACTACTATGCTTATCTGTGTGAGAATCCTCCACTTGCAAGGGCATTTTATGCACTGCCTCAACTTTCTAGCAAAGTTATATGGGTGGCTAGGTACATCCAGAATCACAGGTCCGAACTAATGTAGGTACTCTGATGATGTCGTGGTATTTTGGTCTAATCACTAGGGATGGGAAAAAAAAACTTTGTGCGATGTGATGGTCTGGTAGTAAGGAGGGTGGTAGTGCGACTCTAATCTGTATGGAACAACCTGGTAGTGTGACTCTAATCTGTAGGGATCTTTTAATATAACATAATGTAGATCAGTGGTGAATTGTCTTGCTTAATTTTATTCTTTATTATCTATTGTTGTTGTTTTCAAACAGTATTTTCCCCAAATGTGTGGATGGACCTATACAACCAACCAAACATGATTTTGTACCAACTCATACCATACCATACAGCCATCCAAACAAAAATCATGTATCTCTATAACATCTCACCCCAGATTTGTCCCGTCCATCCTCTTCTCAACCAGGATGCCATCCTCTTTGGTTCTTTCCATCCAGGATGGTCCATCCCATTCACCTCCATACACCCAACCAATACTGCTCGTTGTTCAAAGAACACTGCTCGTATTTCGCAACACATGTTCATCTTTCACTTCGTCCAACACTGTTTATCTTTCACTTCGTCCAACACTGCATGTATTTCGCAACACACGTTCATCTTTCATTTCATCCGTCCCCAAGGTGTGTTCAGGATTCAAACACTGATCAGGTAGCCTCCAAACCGCGTCTGACACATGTTCATCCTTCACTTCCTGTCTCCAGGGTGCATTAAGGATTCAGACACTGATCAGGTAGCTTCAAAACCGCATTTCCAAGCGGGCATTCTTTCACTTGTTGCTCGTGCTGTCGTGCACAACAGGGAGCTGGGAGATGAATGACGTGTGTGCTCATGACAGGCGGACTCATCTGCCGATTCTCCCTTGCTGTTGCTGGTTTCATTTCCTGTTGATCTGTCCATTCAGGAGTAGTTCATTTCAGCCTTTAGATAGTAAGGTGTCAAGGTGGCGCTTTGTTCATCGTGGACAGAGCTGACCTCCCCATTGACGTTAACGATTCATGGAGTTGCCCAGATGCGTACTGAAAACAACACGGAATTTCAGGTTGGAGTGGGGTGGGTCGGTGTTCCAAAACTTTCAAATACCTGACCATTGCCTATGCTATGCTCGTACTACTTGTTCTTATCCACTCTGTTTAGCAACGAAATTGCAGCAGCAAAATCCGAGAAAAGAAGTTCGCTACACGATATACCAAGCACCACGCCACGCAATACTGCAGACTAAAAACAAGCTGCGCAAGAATAGCTTTGGGGGGGGGGTAATCGTAGAGCCAGTGAGTAGGGCGCCAGACCACCATTTCTGAAAAAAAAAAATCCTGAACGAGCAAAGGTACCAAGTTTCTAAGGTGCTGATCAACAGGCCTGTGGCTTGGATCAATATGAATCGATTCTCGCCCGTTTCCCCACATGAATCTCTCTAGCCATTAGCCTCTCTCATTTCTCCACATGAATCTCCATCCAGCTATTACCTAGCTGTAGGAAAGATGCTCATTTCACTACGTTCATCATCCATGATCCATCCATTCATCTGCGGGCGCAACTGAAGTCTGAACCTAATCTGAACTTCACTTTCTGATAACATCGCTAAAATTGATGCAGCATTCTCAACCTGTCCACATAACATACTGGAGGACTTACACAGATTCACATCAGATAGGGCTACAACATTTCCAGATTCGCGGTAGAAGGATACATCATTTCCAAACCCGTTTGGTGAAGTACCAGTAACTATTTTATAGCTTTCGCTGACACCAAGTCTACGAGTCCACTCTTGTCACACATTGATGTACAGAGCGCATTGGATGCTATTCCGCAAACAAGCTGCACAATGCCACAATCCAAAAGTAGAAATTACATAAGGTTAGTACCTCGATGTGGATACATATAGAAAAAAAAACTATCTATGCCACATCTGATCTCAGAGAACACCATCAACTAAACTATGGCTTTGCCTTTCAACTCCAGCATCATAAATTAACACGGTTTCTGTTTGATTTCATCCATGTTCTTGCTGACAGAAGCTCAAAGGCACACAATAGCACATACTTGGCACATCTGAAGTAGGTGCAGATCGGTGCATAAAAGGCATCCAGAAACTTCTCCACATCAGTAGTTACAGCATCCTGCCAAAAGGAAATAAGAAGATTTAAGTAGCAGGCCAGAAGTTTAATTTCACTGGGGGCGGTACTGCTTGCTAAAAACTCCACATCAAACATAATGACATGACTACTTACGTTGTTGGAACAATTGTTGACCCACTAAATCAAATAAGCAAAATGGAAGCATAGCATACATCCATTCTTGCTTTTGTTTGGCTTATGCCATGCATATGTTTGCGAGTTAACATAGCAATGAACAATAAATGAAGTAAACTTAACAAAATTTAAACATAAAAAACTATAACATCAACTTGGGACAATACTCAGGAGGGCTCCAAAGTTTGCTAGGACCCATGAAGTAACTGATTAACCCTATATTCAGGTGGGCCCTTTCTAACCTTCTCTTCCATTGCGAAAATTTCCTATCACTATGACACAAAACAGGAGGTTTCAGAGAAAAATCTAATGAAGTTTGGTGAGTGACATTCAACATGCAATGAGAACTAAATCATGGGGCAAAGGGTTTCTCAAATTGATCAGGAAAATCTCCAGAAAGTAGTTAATCACTTAATTACAACATAATTGTGTGGCCTAATGGAACAACCAGACCATACTGAATATCCACATGATGGAAAGAGATGAAAAAACTATATCCTTTCAAAAGTTGAACGATACCATCTATCTACCCTTACACGTGAATTTGAATTTCAGAAGCTTCAAGTGTCTTTAATATTTTCCCTGTTCCTTAACTGGGTAAATTTGAGATAGGTGTATGGCAATCCTTGAAGGGTCGTGATATAGAGAATAATCTTTTGTAGCAAACTAGCCAAGTGTGACAGTCCAACCCAACAGAATAATCCAAACACAGACACATGCTTCTGTAGCAAACTAGCAACTATCAATGGATTTGGGGAAGTAATTAAACTTAGTCCGCTACACTTGTTTGCTTCTTGATGAATGCGAGGTTACTCTTTTACCACAAGAAAAAAAATAATCATTTTGAATTATAGAGTACATCTCCAAGAAACTGCATGATGACCTATCCATTGGTCACTACGGGACTACTGGCTAGGGCACCCAAGAGTTTGCTATCATTCTGTTGGGCTGAGAGGTATAATGGCGCATTCTCAAAGCTTGGAAGGCTTTCAGAAGAGGACTCAGAATGATGAAGTGCCATTGCATAGTGGTAGCCAATCAAGATATGTTGGATGTGTAAAATGAGTAAGCAGAATACTATACATAGCAGTCATAGACTCATAGTCAGTACAGCGTCGGAACCGGGAACAGACTAATACGAGTAACCAACATGAATTTGTAGTAATCTATACTCTGCAAAACTAACTATGGAACAAAGTCAAATCGCCAAGAAAGGCAAAGACCCCTGTTGGCTAAACAAGGTTGATTTGTGGTGAGAGCACAACAAATACACGCACTCACAGCATTTGAATATTGCAAGGTCAATGAGCAGGGTTATTTGTACAAAGCTACCAATGAAGCAATAGAAACTGTCATAAGGAGCCAGTGTTTTGAGGATTTGTGCAAACTAGCTAGTCATGTCTTTTAGTTTTGCACACCAGGTCCTTCCGTCTTCTGTGCTTTGTGTTGCTATATGGCCTTTACAATAAGCTTCAGTCCTGCCATACAGCGGCTGATGTGTGGGAAAAAAATTTAGGACACACCAAATAGCACTTGGAATCAACATGGGTGCAGGGTGGCCAGCCCAATAAAAAAAAGGACACCCTAATATGATCCTGGATGCCCAAAACTTAGTTCACCTGAATGAACTAAAACATACATTTGCGTACTTCTAAGATACAACAGAAGCTAGAGTTAAATAGGCACACATAAATTCAACCAAGATATTTTGACTCAATGCTGTTTACAAAAATGTGTAGAGGTGACCCGGTTGTATTCATTTCAGTATTTCACAATTATGCAAGAATACTAAAACTTAATCTACCGAACAGTCAACTATTGGATTTCAGTTTAAATTGAAGTGTACCTCTCACATCTGAAGCTTCCAAACTGCCATCTCCCCATAGATTAGAATGAATTCATCTCAAGGCTGTAGGTCCTCCGCTTGAGAAGCATCCTCACTGCTGTCCTATACGGCTCCTCGAATGCATCCAACACCCAAGCTGCACCAGCAGCCCCATTCCAAACTGTCTCCCCTGTTCCTTCCTCACTTGGCTTGATCGCCACCAGTGTTGCGCCATTCAGCACCAACCCCCCAGGCAGCTCAATACATGGTGCGTACCACAACCACATGCTAAGCTCTGGCATGAGCGTCCGGTGTGAGTCCCTAGATGTTGATACTGGTTTCACCCTCAGCTCCTGCAGTTGGCACTTGTCCATGGTGAGCACTCCCTGGCCATCAGCATCTGTCAGGTCCAAGCTCTCGAGCATCCTGTGATCAGCAATGATCGGCTGCAGCAAGTAATGCCTCGCGGCAGCTGCAATCAATGAGCTGATTGTCCAAACCACCCGCAGCTTAAACCCCCCGTTTGTGTAGAACGACTCAGGGATGCTTCCTGAATCGTCACATTCATCAGGTTCGGTGCGGCCACCGTCACCAGAGGGAGCGGTGCTAGCGCTATCTGAGCCAGCAGAATCTGAGCCAGCGGAGGAGGGCGAGGCCGAGGCCGAGGATGCTCCAAGGATGACGCAGCTGCCCAGTGTGGACCCGAAGTCAGCCTTCCACTTGAGCATCACACCGTCGTCCATGCCGAGCTCGCCCGCCGGGAGCTCGATGCGAAGGTGGCGGAGCTCCTTGAAGGAGCGGAGCACCTCCGAGGGCGAGTGGTGGGACACGTCCCCAGGAGGCAGTGGCGAGGAGGAGGAGGACGACGACGATGGCGAGGAAGCGGAGGATGCCGGAAAGCCGGAGGCGGAGTTGGCGGGGGAGAGGATCTGACCGAGCGCCTGGATGGGCCTCACGATGCCGCCGAGCACGATGCGCGCGATCTGTGAGAAGACCCCGCGGGCGCGCACGGACGCCGTAGGAGAGGACGGCGTCGACGGGGAGGACGACGAGGAGGGGGGCTCGTCGGGGATGACGCAGTCGACGCGGACGAGGACGGAGTCGACGAGGGGCACGAGCTCGTGGAAGCGGCGGGAGACGAGGGAGCAGCGGCCGAGCGCCTTGACGTCGCCGATGCGGTTGAAGATGACGAGGAGGAGCGCGTCGGGGAGGCGGTCGAAGTGGTCGTCGCCGGCGGCCCCCGAGAGCCAGCGCTCGTCGCCGCCGAGGTCGCACCGCCAGCGGCGGGATCCCGCGGGATCTTCGGACATCGGCGGCGGCGGAGCGGACCGGATCTGGAGGGGGAGGGAGGCAGGCAGGCGTGGGAGACGTGGGCACGCGACGAGGAGCGTAGAGAGAGAAACAGGAGAGAGAAGGAGGAGAGGTGGGGGGCTCGCACTCTCTTGTCTTTCTCGTTTGGGAAGGGAAGATGCTGGGAAGCCCCTCGACCTTACTAAAATTACTGTCTAGAGTAATGAGAAACTTAACATTAATGGTCAGCTACATGGTTGAAATTGCCAACGCCCAACGACAAGGACCAGCAATTTCTTCATGTGAAATGTACCAAATTTATATAATGACTTTTCACTTAAAAGGGAAAAATGAAGTAACTAATAATCTCTGTGAAACACTAGCATCGATGACAAATAACACTAGGATTCAGTTTAAAGAAAAGCAAAATCGATTCAACATTTTTTTTACCTAGCAATAACCAGCCTTTTTTTTGGAACCGCAGTAAAATTGAGCTAACCAACATCAAATATAATGGGAGTAAAATGCACCACGGGGCTCTATTTTTTCATATTTTCATTTAGGTTCATAAACTTTCAAAATAATTATCTGGATTCTCTAATTTTCCAAGTGGTTCAATCAAGGTATTAATTTAGGTCCATGATTGGATCTGGAATAAACTATTCTGTAAAGTTGAAGAATCAGACAATCACTTTAAGAGTCCATGAACCAAGATGAGAATGCAAAAAGAAATAACGACCAACGACGGATTTCACTTAAAATAAAAGAAAAATAGGAGGAAGTAATGCGTCAGTAGTATAGGGTTTTTACTAGAACGAAGACAAGAAAGTCAATAATCAATTGCTACTAAGTGGCTATGTAATCGAAGATCAATTCCTTATCTTCACTTGGTGTCTGTCTCTTATTCCAGCATGTAAATAGTTGAGAACTTGAGGTCTCGGGCTGTTGATGGGTTGGAATGTTATGGGGTGCTGCACGCACAGTGCTGATGCGGGTGATGCCCATGCCCGCTAGCCTTTTATTTGGGTTCGTATTATGCCCTTTTCTTCGGGAGCGCGGGACGGCTGGCAGCTTTGGGACGATGGCGTTGATTACGACGGGGCAGCTCTAGGTGGCGGTGGCGGGAGGGCACGTCTCTGCCGCCTGCCGCAGGCGCAGGTGCGGGGTGGGAAAACGAGGGCGGAGGCCACCAGTTTTTTGCGGCCATTTCCGCATTTCGCAGGGATTCTGCTGAAAAGGATGTCGCGGTACCGGTGGTCACCGCAGCCGCCTGCAGCGCAGTCGAGCAGAGAGCAGCAGAGAGCAGAGAGCCTGCAGCGCACTCTAAAATACCAATTTTTTTTAAGATTTTTCGTCACATCAAATCTTTACACGCATGCATAAAGTATTAAATATAAATAAAAAATAAAACTAATTACATAGTTTAGACGAAATTCACGAGACGAATTTTTTAAACCTAATTAGACTATGATTGAACACTAAATATCAAATAACAACGAAAACTGCTACATTATCATTTTACCAAAATTTTCGCATCTAAACTGGCCCTCACAGGCCAACGGCTGACGGCGACCAAGCGCGCAGAGCTATAGTAGTGGCAACAGTGTCGAGCAGTTAGGGCATGGCCAACGCAAGCTAAGAGCACTAGCGGCGTTCGGCGGGTGTGGAAATTTCATACCAGTCGGTTGGTCTGCTTCTCCTCATATTACTATGATATATCTTCCAACTGCTATAATATTTTTCTCTCATACAATCAACTACTAAAATATTTTGATTTATTTTTTCAGACAAGCCAACAGGGCCTGGCCTCAACGAAGGTTTATGCTCCACGTAGACGAGGACGCGGCTGAGGCCGCCGGCTCTCGCACCACGTAGATGAGGATGCGGCTGAGGTCGCCGGTCTCGCAACTTAGGCATTAATTGCTCTCTCTATACCTGAGCATGGTCAGTAGTAACTTTATTTCTGGCCCCACCATATATATGTTTTACCTGTTTGCTTTAAGTGGAACCAAGCAAGTACAGACGGCGTCATGCTACGGCCTCTTTTCTCCACGCGCTTTATCGGGATCCAGGCCTAAGTTTAGTCGTGTCACGATGACGTTCGGATGCTAGCTTGGAAAATTAAATATAAACTAATTATAAAATTAATTGCACAGGAGTAGACTAGTTAGTGAGACAAATCTATTAAGCCTAATTAATCCATAATTAACAAATGGTTACTGTAGCACCATATTGTCAGACCATGGACTGATTAGACTTAATAGATTCGTCTCGCAAATTAGCCTCAATCTGTGTAATTAGTTTTATAATTAGCCTATGTTTAATACTTCTAATTGATATTAAAGATTCGACAGGTCTAAACTTTTGTCCAAAGAAAATAAACACCTACTCAGTCGCTGCTTCGGTCTTTTGTCAGATAAGGCCTATGCAGCCTCTGCAGGCTATTCTAACACCCTGCGGAACCACAACTTGGTGACACGGACGCGCGAAGATGACATGGAAGCTAGGGAGCACCCCAGCGAGGCGCGTTGGGGAAGCCCTTACAAACGGTTATATCAAATCAATAGTAGTACTATCTTCAATAGTCCATTTTAAACTGGGGGTGGTGAGGAAATATGGTAATAATTCTGTATAAATATGGTAATTCTGTATTTTTTAGGGATCCAATTGTACTCCCTCAGTCACTTAGAAAATGTCATTCTTACTTCTTAACAAGTCAAGTAATTTTAAATTTTATTAAATATATATAAGAAAATATTAATATTTATGATATATAATTAGTACCATTAGGTAGATCGGTGAATATTTTTTATAATAAATTTATTAGAGATAGAAATATTGCTAATATTTTTTATAAAATTATAAAAATTTGACCAGCACAAACCTCGTAGCAACTCTTTTTATAGGACGGATGGAGTATATATTAACATAAAAGTCTTCATGTTCAAGTTGGTCTAAACCCCCTTTTTTATTTGTGTACACGTCGTGTAACATATTGTTATTACTAAGGCATCATCAACAATGTATTTTTACCTAACTAGGTGATAAGAGTGAGTCAGATGTCAGTAGATATTTAGTCAAATTTCACCTCTTGTGTGAAGGTAAATAAGATGAGCCCTATCTCGTCCTCCAACCAAATGCACCCTAAACAACACAATAAAATCTCGTTCGTATCGATCCTTCTGCTATCAGGATGAGCACTAGCCATCTACACCTCTCTTCGCTTTCTGCATACCGCCTATGCTCTCATCTCGTTTGATGTCTTCCTATGCAACAGACAAGAAAAAAAACGCAGAGGATTCCAAAGCGGGGGCTTCGGTTGGTGCACGTGCTCCGGCCGCTGCCGCGTGCGTGCGCGTACGTGCACCGTGGCGCTCGCGAGGACGAACGCATCGTGCAGCTCACGACGTAGTAGTCGCGTGGACGCGACGAGGAGCCAAACGGTGGCTGCACCGGCCGTCCGGTGGGACGCGTCCTGGCAGTGTCGAGCGTACAAGCATGTCGCTGCGTCCGAGCGCTCGAGCCTGACACTGACAGCTCGCGCGTACCGGCCGTGCATTCGGTGATGTGCACCGCGCGCGCCATCGCCCATCGGTGTGGTTGGTCTGGTCTGGTCATCGCGTCGTCGTCGGTTGTTTCACCTTTTGGATGCATATAAATAATAGTTACGTTCAACAAAGAAAACATTAGCAGTCTATTAATTATCAGCCTTCTTTTCTCTCAATTAACTATCACTACGACAGAAAAAACGTATTAGTGACATAGTTCAAGATGTATATTAGTGACGGGAACAATAAGCATCTTTAAATTTACATATTCGATATGGACAGCATTAGTGATGTCTTATTCACTTATTCTCCATCTATGATATGCACATATTGTAAACCACCTCTGATATGCACACATAGTAGGGTAAATAAGTATTGGCAGAGATAGAGGGGCGATAGCCTAGCTAGGTTTGTCTCCATGAGACCATGAGGCGTCGCCAACTGCATGTAGGGCAAAGCTCTGCGACTATTTTTCGTAACTTTATATTTCCGAGCTCGTAGCTTAGAACGGACTTGCTAGAGCCCGGATGTCCGACTCGGGGTGCTAGCATTGGACGGTGCCCGCGCAACGAGCGAGCGAGCGCCCCAACAGCGTCGGACTTGCGAGTGCCCGCCCCAGCAGCGAGCCCGCGCCGCCAAACTGTGCGCGGGGATTGCTCGCACCCCCTCCCGCTTCCCACGCGCATTTCATGTACAACACCTCGATCTACTTTTGAAACATTCAGATGCAACACTTGCAACATGCAAAAGAAGACAGATGAAACACTTGAAACATGCGTCTGAAACACTTGCGAAAACACCTGAAAAACACTTGAAAACCATTACATTGCAAACATACACAACATCCAGATAAACACACTTGCAATATATGTCTGAAAAGCAAATAAAATATTAGGAACAGACGCTTGCAACATACATGTACAACTATTGCAACATATGCAACATCCTGATCTACTTTTGCAACATCCGTATAAAACACTCAAAACATACATTTGAGAAACACTTGAAACACTGTGTCGACGGCAGCCACAGCTTACCTGGTGGGGAATTGCGGTGGCGCATGCCTCCCCTTTTCCATTGACGACGCGAGGTGGATGGGGGCGCAGGCGCAGACCTCCCCTGCCTCCCCTTCCGCGGCGGGCGAGGTGGCACAGCGCGGAGTAGCGCGGGAAGGGGCCGGGTGCGGCGCCGCCACGCTAGAGAAGGCCGCGGCGGACGACCCCTGCGATGGAGAAAGTGAGCGGCCCTTTTTTTTTTAAAGCCGTGAAGCATTGAAGTGCTCGGAGCAGAGTGGGGCCCCTTCCTAGCATTATCGCCGTAACAAACCCTGTAACAGTTTATTAGCCTGAAATCCGTCCATATATCCATAACCAAAGTGTCAGATACAGCTGCGATGCGAAGGCTCAGTTTGACTCGAAAACGATGCAGCAACAAAGCAATAATTCCAAAGACTGCACCGAGTAGACACCAGATACGAACCGTTCTTTTTCACGTCTCCTTGTTTTCTCTCGAATCATTTGCTGTCCTCTCCTATCATGCAAGAACAAATGCCTGATGGCTACATCTGCCATTTCTCGAAGCAGTGCAGCGTAAGGCAGGCAGGCAGCACCAAAGCAAATCCATCGACAACGGGGGGAAAATGACAAGCTGTTCCGAAACAAAGCTAACAACCGGAAATGACTCTAAAAAAAAGACTCAAAACAACTAGAAATGCAAATACACAGCCCACTGCCTGTCTGCCCACTTGCATCCTTGGACTTGGGGGTGATAGCTTTTGCCGTTCGATATTCATTCCAGAGCTTAGATTCACCAGATCAACATGCCAATTGAATTTCTGTGCCATATCAGAGTACAAGAACAGACACATGACGTCTCAAAAGCACACTACTAAATAGTCGTCACGCACGAGCACGACACCATGAGTGTGCTCGCTGCAGCTACTTCAGGCTGCGGCTGCGAGGAAACAACTACTATGTACTGTAGATGCAATAAGCTGCAGCCGCAACCGCAGCCTAATAAGCTACAGCGAGCCCATTTCACTTGCTATTCAGGTTTTTCTCATGATCAAACATCGATTTGTCATCAGAATGATAAAAAATTATATTCTCAAGTCAATTTGCTTCCGTTGATTACAGCTCAAAATCTAAAAATGTTGCTATCGAATCGACCCCCATAACAGAACATTGACCAAAATTGAGACTCGTCGGGGTGGAAATACATTTGTTAAGGGTCAAAAAACACCATAAACTCATGCTTTAATCTGCCAGTTATATTATCTTACAAAAGGAGAAAAGGAGGTATCTTCTACATTCTAGACAGAGAAGCCGTGGGGATGGTGGTGTGGTGCCTATAACATCAGGGATAACAACAAAAAGGATATTGTACATGCAACTTAGAACTCCTCGTCTCAATCTCAGCAAAGAAAACAAAACTGTCCTCAAAAAATAAGCCGCGCGAGGAGTTGGGGAGTTGACCACCAAGGTCCAATTGACACCTAAATTGTCAGGGATAAGAAATTAGCAATAAAAATATATTAGTGGCAATCAGGCATAAGGAAATTAACAAGACAGGTACCAGGGCAATTAAGTTTTTGCACATGAAACTACAGAATCCCACACAGCATAGTATATAGATCCGTACCTAAGTAGTTTCTGAAGAACTGCTGCATGAAAAACGTGAATATTTGCCCTCAAAGTATGATCTCAGGCGTTTAATGAGATTTTCCCTCAGTGTCTCCGGAATTTTTGCCCTAAATTTGCTTGCAGAATCTGATTTTAGCTGCTTTCTGCATTACATGAGAAAAGCACAGTGTCAGAACAGGAATCCATAAACATCTTGAGAATATTTAATCCAACAGACCTTTGGTATATAGAAAAAGAAGTACAGAATCTTAATCAACAAATTTCCTGTAACCAAAGTAAGATAATTTCCGCCGCTGTCTGAGCACATTACCTCATTGCATCAAAATCTTGAGGAATGTCTGAACTTTGAATTCGACACCTCTTTTGCGAGCGCATAAAATTATAGACATCATCCATCCATTCAGACAGCCGAAGCTCAGAATCAGCTAACTTAGCAAGCCTGGTTTTTTTGGGGGTTTCAACAAAACATGCCATTAGCATTACAAAATTATTATAAATGAGACAATGATCAACTCAGAAAAAAAAGGAATAATACATTATGCATATACATCAAATGGAAGAAAAGAATAAGGTTCTAGAATGTGAAGGTAACTAGTGCAAAAATGGTAACAGTAATTTCATGCATGGGTCATTAAACGATGTCAAATGGATTAGATCTAGAGGTCTGAGGCAAGAACCTTCATGTGTGGTTGCTTAGGGATATTTGCAAAGTTTTCATTCAAACCCCCATGCATGTATGTGAAATTAGCACCATTAGAGTTGCAAGGATAAACAGCATATCCAAATCAGTCTTAGATTTACTAGTTTAGAATACAAATTTTTTATCTGTGCAAACCAAGGTAGTATGAATTATCTCATGTTAACATATTTCTAGTTCGCATTGTGCAATATGGCGAGTTGGATCATATAAAATGAATACATGACCAAACTTGGAAGGTGCTAATTTGCAAAAAGCAACTGAAAGGAATGGATGACCCATATTTCATGGAAAGTGTTACATGTAGAATATATGGTGAAGGGTGTGACAGCAGCAGAGCCAGCATTGAGTTGGTGGGCAGCGCAGCAAGGAGATTAACCCTTCAATTCTTACTTTCCTCTAATAGTTACAACTCCTCCTATATTATTAGGTAGGATCCCATTCTTATGACATGACCCCCTGAGGTCTTGTTCGATTAATCCCCTCACAAGGGGATTGAAGGGGATGAGGGGGATTTTGACTTGTTGGGCATTTAATCCCAATTCCCTTCAATCCCCAACAAACCAAACAAGGCCTAAGTATTGGATGACTCAGGACTCTACATAGTCTAATTCTACCAAACATAATGGGCCAGTAACCACTGTCTAGGAGGGTGGGCCGTTGCTACAGTACCCACGAGTGCTGTTCGTATGGGTCTCAGTGTCCACAGGTAGCAGAAAGATATAAAAAAAAGTTAGAGAATATCAATTAGGGACTTACATTTCCTGAAACTTATCTTCTTCAAGTTGGCGTTTGTTTCCTGAAGAGTTTGCATGAGATGACTGGTCAGAATATTGTTCAGCATGTGAGGCCTTGCCATGGCTGGTCTCCTGTTGAGCAGGCGTGGCATTGCCATTACTGGTCTCTTGTTGAGTGGGCATGGCATTTCCATGACTGGTCTCTTGTTGAGAGGGCATGGCATTGCCATTACTGGTCTCTTGTTGAGAGGGCATAGCATTGCCGTTACTAGTCTCACCAAGATACTGGGAATGATGAATTGGCTGGCCATTTCCATTTGCATTCTGCAGTATTCTTTCTGACTGTTGGCCTCTCTCTCCACAAGAAATAGTATTATCAGCATTATTTTTACTGGGTCCCACAAATTGTCCAGTCTTGCAACCATTTGATTCTGATGATTTAGCAGTTTCATTAACCTCTGGATTAATTTTTGAAGTGAGGTTTACTTTGCCATTTGACATAACCTTTTCTGCTGCGCTATTCTTAAAGTGAATCGGCTTGATAAGTGGACCTGATGCAGTCTTGCCATTCTTCAAGGGCATCAGTACATTACCTTTGGTAGAACATATGCCATTCTGTTTTACCAAAGGTACCTTCGAGGTCTCACTAGATGAGGTGCTTGATATGCCAATTCCATTCGTGCTGAAAGGTTTAGCTGCAGTAGAAGAGTAACCATTTGTACTAGCCTTTTGAGTTTTCGAATTCAGTATATAAAATAGGATATAGACCTTCTCAGACAAAACATTCTGAGAGCTTGATAGGGAGACATGAGAATCGTTACAACAAAACCATTGACCACTAGCATCCTGCATATAATGCATGTTCCAAGTTATGTTCAGATATAGTACAAGAACAGGATTGAACGAATTTACATACTGATTGAATTACCTTAACATAGGCATAGTAGTGACCAGACTCTGCGGAGAGCCCTGAGTGGACGATACAACCAAAAAGATTATATACTGGTTGCGGATCCTGCAGCTCCATGCAAGCCAAGATATATTTCATATCAATCAAGGGGATAACTGATATAGTCTAATAAGATATGCGCGAGAAAATAAAAAAATGTTTTCAGTCAATAAGATTAGGAAAAGCATCATGCCTTCACTAAATGAATTTTTTTATTCCCGACAGAAGTGGCACACTATAACTAGAAAATTAGCAAAGATGATAGACAACAAAGGAAAATGATTTCACAGAGAAGCTTGAGTGATACAATCAAATACATAGAAAGAGAGTTTTAAGTGGATAAAATACTGCAAAGGAATCTCACAATTCACATTGCCATTGCACCACTGCCATACTCTTATACGCTTTTACCACACTATAAACAAAATGGTACCCATAAAACCTACCTCCTAAAAGATTTCCTTGAAACTAAATGAAACACAAGTCTTTGTTTAGACTGACGTACTTTGGTGATAGTTTCATGTAGTAAAAATGGCCTTGCCTGGTTGAGCCTCAAGACTGGACTACAAGCTATATTACTGACACTTACTACAGAAAGCAATTGTTACTACATAACAGGGGACATTTTAAATTCAACTTTACTCTTACAGCACTCAAGGTATGGACGTGCCAAAGTCAATCGACTTATCACCAAAACAAATACACAAAATGGTCAAACAAACAAAAATTTTGGTGATAAGTGGTTGGGATCAGTGGTTTCCATCCCACTCCCACCCACCAGCGTTTGATTCAGGTTGGAATCAGCTGACCGGGGCATGCCCCCAAAATAAATTTCGTTGCCTCCTCGCGTGGTGCCACAATGGTCAGAACGACGTGCCCGTCGTCTACAGAGCCCTGTGTGCCTGCCGATCTCACTAGGGACATGATATTCAAGCTGTGTGTAGTTGCAGGTCTTGATATGTGCGTAGGGGTGTTAGTGTGTGTGCGTGTGTGTGAGTTTGTGTATGTTCACACATGTTCAGATACTACAGCTGTACCCAGAAAGGAGGCTTCAAAAAAAAATGGTTCCCTACAACTTCATCTATAGATAGCTCAGTTGTAGATAACTAAAATTAAATATGTATGATATCCATTCCAAATTGTAAGCCATTTAAGCTATGTCCCAAGCAATATCATTTTGGGAGCACATCAAACTTTTTCTTACATTGTAGGCTAATTAATGCTATGAAAAACATCCTAATCACTGCGCCAGGACTGCCCTAAGTATACTAGTTACAGAGTTGGCAACCAACATAAAACAACTAATGAATGGTAAACCGAATTAAACTAAAACCAAATACATAGTTCTCAACACATGAGCAAGAGTATACTCCCTCCATCCGTCTATGATAAGTGCCTAAGCAAAAAACACAAAGACCAAGGAGAACCAAACCAGGCCCGTTCTCCATTACTTCAACTACCTACATGAATTGATGAATGGCCTTGCATTAAATCGGCCACAAAACTGAACCATCCTGCTACTACCAACATAGGATCAGCCAATCACACCATGGGAGAAGGAGCAGCGCATTAAATCAGCCAGGGAATTGAAGCGGCATGCACATCCGACCCAAGACAAAATTAGCCTCTGCAACCAAGCACGCTGATCATTTGAGCTAATATGTTTAACAAAGACGGACCGAAGGAATACTTTGCTAACACGTAATGATGTATACAATTAGCAAACTGAAGTTGTCACTTATTCTGACTGTTCATAGATGTTTTATGTAGAAAGCACAAAGTGAAAGCTTTCTAACTTTGACCAATGCTTTAAAAAAAAAGAATTGTGTATTGGTAGTACCATTGGATTTGTGCATATTGGAAACCGTATTGATGTTCAAACATCATATATCTACAAACGGGAGGAGTTGGTAATATTAGTAGCAAACTGATTGCAAAAAAAGATGCTCACAAATAGCTCAAAAACAAAAGTGATGATAGCGGCTTGTTATACCAAAACAGAGGACAGAGATTAGGGCCTGTTTGGTTCTCTTGCAAGCCCTTGTATCACCTTGTCCAGCAAAGACAAGAGTTCGGTAGGACTTCGGAGCTGGAAAGCCAGCTTTGCCCATCAAATTAGATCAACGTGGCAATCATATCTTTTCTCGTTCAGGAGAGCTATTTTAGTGCTAAAAAAGGTTTGTAACTCGATTTTCAGATGACTAGACCTCATATACAAGGACTAAATACAATTACAAATAAAGGCCTGACCTAAAAAGTAGTTAGCTCAACAAATTAACCAGTAGCTCCAATAGAAACCCTGGAAGTGATGTCGCATATTATTAAATTATTAAGTTACCATAAACTAGTTCATATCCATTTAAGTTCATTGGTTAAATGGAATTTACGTTATTAAAGGACCATGATTTGATAGTTGCTGTGGTTACCTTAAAGAAGTTTGATCCACATAATTGGAAACAATGTCCTTAAACAAACTAGAAACTGATGGCAGTTAACATGTGGTTTCATATCAATGAGCAACCTACCACAGGTGAATAAATTGGTTTCACAGATAGCTTTGCGTTCACAAAAGTTTGCATGCCTAAGAAAAAACCAAAGATTAAGCAATCAAAATTTGATGTTTTACCTGGTTTTTATTGCGCATGCAATCAGAAAGACCAAGTGCCTCTTTGAATTCTATATTCCTGTTGATCTTTCCACCATTTATCCCCTCAAACCTCTAATATCATCATACCAGAAAAAGAAAAACACAGGTCATCAGCAACAGCTCCTAGCCATGTCCAATAAATCAAGCACAAGTTTTGTCCAAATACAAAATAAGAAATGACCGAAGGTCAATAACCTTGAGTTGTATGACAAGCACCTTAGGTGCCCTCAGCATAAACATTTGCTTCCGTGCTGAGGTGAGCTTGTTACAACTGCCATTACCAAAATCATAATTAAAGCATGTTTCAAACACAAGCATCGGGAATACAGGAGAACTTGGATGAGTGAAAAGAAGCACATGAAATTATCATCACATCATGAAAGGCGACATCGAGATAAGTTTTTCATATACTGTAAACATATACAAATGTTTACATTGGCTGCTTTACATTTTGACAATTTCAATTCGGAAAGAGGATCGAAAGATCTTATAGGGTGTTCTGACCAGTTTTGGAACACTCACGAGGGTCCATGGTTGGGGTCACACCAACTTTGTTCTATAATAAGCAGACATAAACTGGAGAGATTACCAGAGTTATCTTTGCCTTGGTGAAAATGACTACATAATAAATTTCACAAGGAATAGTAAGTTTTTCTTTCTCTAAAAAAGTAGCCAAGTAGGGTAATTTCAAGAGGTTCAAACTAACATTTACATTCCTATGGAAAGGCTAAGGAAACTGCACCATTTGCCTACAGGGACAATTAGATTGCAAAAGAAGGGGCTGGTGAAACTTCCTACATGATTTTGTTTCCACTGAAAATATTATGATCAGCCCTAAAGTGTCCTAAAAGGCCATCCCTAACAAGTAAACAGTTAAAATTCTAACAGTTGAAACCTTCCTCTGAGAACCATTTGTTCCTTTTTAGATAAAGAATAGCATACCTTTCACAACTATATTTGTTTGCGCCCTCCAATATCTCCGGCTGAAAGAAGCGGGCAAGGGCATCAGCAACAGAACTGCTCCCAGGCAGATCGAGACTGATGTCCATTATCTCATCAGTCTTTTCAGACTCTCCCTTGCACACAAGGCACTTCACTTGACTCAGCAATTCCCCACCAAATGTCTCCCTCATAACCAGACACGCCCCCTGCCCCCGGCCATCCTCACCACAGTTTCCATTGGCAATTGCTGCATGTAGCCGCTTGCGCATGCGGAGGCCAGCAGTGTGACAGGCATCTACCACATAGCGGAGGAACTCGTGCGCGTCCTCCTGGCGCCCCCACCTGAAGTGCTCGGCGAATAGGGGCATGCAGCGGATAACCTTTGCGGGGGAATCGAGCACCCCTGCATCCGCCCGAAGCAGCCGGGCGATCTGCCGCTCAAGCACGCAGAACGAGCACTCCTTCTCCCTGTTCGGGAACACCTTCTTGCCTACAAGCAAACAAACCAACCCAAACATCAACCACTTGATGAGTTGCGAAAAAAAAAGAGCGCGCAAGGGGGTGAAGCGGGCGCTAGGGTTTCGTACACATGTTGGAGTGGCGAGAGTCGAGGCAGAACGTGGCGAGGGGCGGCGTGGACGCAAGGCACTGGAGGACGCTGTTGAGGTAGCAGGTGTTGCCGAGGTTCTTCAGCCCCGGGGGTGGGCCCGTGCGGGGGCGCCGCTGCGGCGGCAGCGAAGACGGCTCCGCGGTCGCGGCCATCACCGGCTCCGAGGGGCGGATGCGGCGGGGACAGCACCGCCGCGGGAAAGCACAAGGCCCCCCTCCTCCTCTCCACGAAGCACCGCCGCCAACTCATCCGATCGCATCGCCCACCTGTGGGCGCCGCGGAGGAACGGCCATCGTGGAGAAGTTTGGCGCTCCCGGCGCGAGCGCGGGGATTGGCTCCGCTGGCAACGCGAGGTAAGAGCGATGGGGAAGGCTCACGCCCTCGAATCGAGCAACAGGACGGCGACGGGGTGACGAGAGGAGGGAGGGAAGCGAGGAGTCTGATTTTTTTCCCCCTTCGGGGTCGGAACTCGAGCTCGGAAGAGAGGGGAGTGAAGAGTTGGTCCAGGTTGCGATGGGCTCGGGGCGGTTTGAGCTTCCGAATTTTTTATTTTTTAGCATTTTTTTTAAATTTTAAAAAAAAATTCACAAATAAGTCCTTAAAGATATAATTTCAAAATATGTACCCTTATATCGGCGCTATCATTGCTGGCGCCGAGCTTACACGTCTCGGTGTCATCGTTGCTGACGCTGAGCTCTTGGGCTCGACGCAGACGTGGCGGTAACTCGGTAGACAGCTCGACGCCGTAGATCTTGGCGCCGACCTTGGCACCGTGGTTACTGACGCCAAGCCTGTCTTACGTATGGGTCCTCATTTTCTTTCTCTTTTGCTCTCCCTCTCTCTCGCACCGCCAGCGTCCGCCCAAACCAGCGCGCCGCCGCCGCCGCCGCCCGCACCCGCGGCTAGCGCGCCCTCGCCCTCGCCCTCGCCCGCGTCCTCTCCCGCCTCCGGCCGCTCGCACCCGTGCGCCCTCGCCCTCACCCTCGCCACCCGCACCCTCTCCCACCCCCGGCCGCCCGGACCCCGCGCCCGCGCCGTGCCGCCCACGCCCGTCCGCCGTGCCGTGCCACCAGCGCCGGCGCCCGCCTTGCCCGCGCCGCGCCGAACCGGCGCCGTGCCCGCCGTGCCGTGGCCACGCCACGCCCACGCCCGCCGTGCCGTGCCGGCCTCGTCGCGCAGAGCGCCGTCCATCCCACGCCCGCCGCGCGCCACCACCGGTCCCGGCCCCTGCAGCGCCCGGCCGTGCCACCGCCGGCCCGGCTCGTCGGCCTCACCCACGCCCCGCGTCCGCTACGACTCCGTCGACGTCCGCGACTTCGTCGTTGGACAACTAAAAATTATAAATATGCAATGTACGTACTTAGTTAGCTTTAATTGTAGTGTAATAGTTTTGACATTTGTTATTTACTAGTTAATATGATGACTCAGGTAGTTGATTTAGTTAGTGATCTAGTGAGCTAGTTTTGTAGATAGATAGAAACAAAGATACATAGATATAGTTAGATAGCTACTTGGATAGGTAGTTATATATTTAGTTAACTAAATATGATCTAGCTATTTGGTGAGTACACTGTATCTATGTACGTAGTTATTATCTTATTTACTTAGTTTGTAGTTAGAAAGTACTTGTTAGATACCATCTATAGTCTAATTTAGACTAAAGGATATGTGTTTCGTTACGTGTTTGAACTAGATGGATAATCTAGTGAGCATGTATCATGGAGGCACCGTAGAAAGAGATCGCTATGGATATGTTGAGTTTGTTGAGATACAAAGCGTGCATGTGTTATTCAACGAGAAGCCATCGTTTCGTGAGTTTGTTGTAAAAGCTCGGGAGGAGGCGCCAAGCTTGACGCCGTAGATCTTCACGCCGAGCTTGGCGCCGTGGTTACTAGCGCCAAGCCTGTCTTACGTATGGGCCCTCTTTCTTTCTCTCTTGCTCTTCCTCTCTCTCTCACACCGTCAGCGCCCGCCCCAACCAGTAAGACATTTTGAAAGGTCCTAATATGGCTAGAGGGTGGTGAATAGCCTATTTAAAAATCTACAAATCAACTAGAGAGCAATTTGATTAGTATAACAAATAACGTAATGCAAACTTGCTCTAGCTCTACAAGGGTTGCAAGCCACCTATCCAACAATTCTAGTTGCTATGATCACTAACCACATAATTTGCTATGTTACTACTCACTAAGAGCTCTCACACTTGCTACACTAAAGAGCTCCACTAGATGAACTTGAAACAACAAAGCAAGCTCTCAATTCTAATTATACTAAAAAGATTGCTACAACTAGTTTGCAAAAATATAAATGAGTGAGTAGGGTGATTATACCGTCGTGTAGAGGAATAAACCAATCACAAGATGAAGATTAAACCAATCACCGGAAGAATACAAATGGTAAGAGACAACCGATTTTCTCCCGAGATTCACGTGCTTGCCAACACGCTAGTCCCCATTGTGTCGACCAACACTTGGTGGTTCAACGACTAAGAGGTGTTTCACAAACCTCGTCCACACGATTGGACACCGCAAGAACCTACCCACAAGTGAGGTAACTCAATGACACGAGCAATTTACTAAAGTTACCTTTCGACACTCCGCCGGAGAAGGTACAACTCCCCTCACAATCACCGGAGACGGCCACGAACAATCACCAACTCATGCCGATCCTCCACCGCTGCACCAAGTCGTCTAGGTGGTGGCAACCACCAAGAATAACAAGCAAAACCCACAGCGAAACACGAATACCAAGTGCCTCTAGATGCAATCACTCAAGCAATGCACTTGGATTCTCTCCCAATCTCACAATGATGATGGATCAATGATGGAGATGAGTGGGAGAGCTTTGGCTAAGCTCACAAGGTTGCTATGTCAATGAAAATGGCCAAGAGAGTGAGCTTGAGCCGGCCATGGGGCTTAAATAGAAGCCCCCACAAAATAGAACCGTTGGGCTCCACACTGCACTGAACACGGGCCGACCGGACGCTCCGGTCATATTGACCGGACGCTGGACCTCAGCGTCCGGTCGTGCGATGTGCGCCACGTGTCATCAGCTTCAAACGCCGATCGTCCGATTTCAACGGTCAAGTGATGACCAGACGTGTCAGTTAGAAAGTGACCGGACGTTGGACCCCAGCATCCGGTCGTTTCCAGTAAGGTTCCAAACGTGAGATTTCACGATCGGACGCGTCCGGTCATGCCCGACCGGACTCACCCAGTGTTCGGTCACACAACGTCTCCTCTGTGCGCCTCACGTCAGCATACGTCAGCACTGACCGGACGCACTCTGCCAGCGTCCGGTCACTTTTAGCGCTAGCGTCCGGTCGAAGACCGAAACACGCGCCCTCTGCTGCCACTGACCGGACGCTCCGGTCCAACCGAGACCAGCGTCCGGTCACATACAGTGACCTTCGTCTTCTCTGTCTAGGGCGCCGGTGGAGTTTCTTACCCTTGTACCCAAACTTCACCACCCTTTATTAAATGTGCCAATCACCAAGTGTATCACCTTGTGCACATATGTTAGCATATTTTCACAAACATTTTTAAGGGTGTTAGCATTCCACTAGATCCTAAATGCATATGCAATGAGTTAGAGCATCTAGTGGCACTTTGATAACTGCATTTCGATACGAGTTTCACCCCTCTTAATAGTACGGTTATCAATCCTAAATGTGATCACACTCGCTAAGTGTCTCGATCACTAAAACAAAATAGCTCTTACAATTTATACCTTTGCCTTGAGCCTTTTGTTTTCTCTTTCTTCTTTTCCAAGTTTAAGCATTTGATCATCACCATGCCATCACGGTCGTCAGGATCTTCGCCATTGCTTTATCACTTGGAGTAGTGCTACCTATCTCATAATCACTTTGATAAACTAGGTTAGCACTTAGGGTTTTATCAATTAACCAAAACCAAACTAGAGCTTTCAACCGCCGCCGTCGCCGCCCGCGGCCTGCGTGCCCTCGCCCTTGCCCGCGCTCGGCCACCCGCATCGTGCCGTCGCCGCCGCGCCCCCGCGCCCTTGCCCTCACCCGCGCCTGATCGCCCGTGCTGCGCCTTCACCGCCTGTGCCTTCGCCTCCTGCGCCCTCTCCCGCCCCCGGCCGCCCGAATCCCGCGCCCGCGCCATGCCGCCCACTCCCGCCCGCCGTGTCGTGCCGCCCGCGCCCGGCCTCACCCAACGTGCCGCCCGCGCGCGGCGCCTGCCTTGCTCGCATCGCGCTGCGCCGGTGCCATGCCTGTCATGCCATGATCGTGCAGCGGCCACGCCGCGCCCGCGCCGTGCCGCCCGTGCCCGCCGTGCTGGACTCACCGCCTGGAGCGCCGTCCATCCTGCGCCCGCCGCGCGCCACTGCCGGCCCCGGCCCTTGCAGCACCCGGGCGTGCCACCGCCGGCCTGGCTCATCGGCCTTACCCACGCCCCGCGTCCGCTGCGACTCCGTCGACGTCCGTGACTCCATCGTCGGACAGCTAAAAATTGTGAATATGCAATGTACGTACTTAGTTAGCTTTAATTGTAGTGTAGTAGTTTTGGCATTTGTTATTTACTAGTTAATGTGATGACTCATGTAGTTGATTTAGTTAGTGATCTTGTGAGATAGATAGAAACATAGATACATAGGTACATAGATATAGTTAGATAGATACTTAGATAGATAGTTATATATTTAGTTAACTAAATAAGATCTAGCTATTTAGTGAGTACACTGTATCTATGTACGTAGTTATTATCTTATTTACTTAGTTTGTAGTTAGAAAGTACTTATTAGGTACTATCTATCGTCTAATTTAGACTAAAGGACATGTGTTTCATTACGTGTTTGCACTAGATGAATAATCTAGTGAGCATATATCATGGAGGCACCATGGAAAGAGATCGCTATGGATATGTTGAGTTTGTAGAGATGCAAAGCGTGCATGTGCTATTCAATGAGAAGCCATTGTTTAGTGAGTTGGTTGCAAAGGCTCGAGAGGAGCTACATTGCCATGGAGCTGATGATGATGATGGCATCGCAGTGGAGGGTGTACTTCACCTAGGTTCCCCTCCCAACACCCTTAGGAACATGATCCCAATTGGTTGTGCAGACCGATGGAAGAACTATGTGAGATCGGCTATGAAGTGTCAGTTCCAAAGTTTAGACGTGGTTGTGTGTC